AAGCAAACACACAAGTCTGCGCACTGGAAACGCGTTGTGCCATCAGTGCGCAAACGGAGCCTCGTTAAGTCACAATTAATGTCAGAGTTCAACAGCTGCTTTGTCCGGTAGAGAGACGTTTGATAAACCATGACTGAGGATGCTCTCTCACAAACCCCACGCTGTGACACAACAAACTATCCAACAAGACGCATTGCGCTTTTCTGTTCTCTGCAGAGACGATCTGCCTCTGACAGCTGTGGTGTTGTTTTTGTTTTGTTTTTTAATTCCAGGGCTTGCTGAGAGTTTAGTTTCTTGAAATTATCGATATAAAAACAATTATTTCCTCGAAGAAAAAAAGGCACAAACTACTGCAATGTTCATCTCCGACAGGAAAAATCTGTATGTTTTGTGTGTCTTTCTACGGCAGTGTTTTTTGTGGCTCAAATTGTAAAGTGTTAATAAAACGTATTCTTGTCTCCTATAGTTGAACCATAGGCCATACTCCCTCGTAGATCGATCATACAAGTCTTTTGGATGTTTTACAAAGTTCCCTCGGAAGAATTTATTTTGGGTATAAAAAAGGGAATGGATGCAAACATTGTATTTATTTCGATATTATTTGCATGTTGTCTCTCTGTCTGATTTTACAATGATTTTTTGTTTTTCTCTCTCCATTTTGTGAGCATTATGTAACTTGTTTTGTCCCGGATCTGAAAGTTATTTATATGTAGGTAATGAATGCTTATATTTAAGAAGGAAATATTTCTACATGTGCACATAGTTTTCCAGGTGTACCATTGAAATGGTTGTTGATGATAAAAAACAAATAATAGTCCAAGAGTGCTTTGTCATGTTTTCTTTGGAAGATTGTGTTATTATATGGAAAAAAAAGGCTAATCCTAATTGTGTGAATGAAGTGTTACATATTTAAAGTTGAAAAGGCAGCTGGGACATTTCAGCACCAAGGACAGCACAGCACCACTTTTCTACAGTACTCAGAATATTAAAAACATTTTCTTTAGATTAAAGTTGTACCAAGACTTTGAGATTGCATTTGAAAACGGAAATGGAAAATAAATATTAAGTATCATGTGAAGGTGTTTTGAAGTCTGATAAAATAAAAGAAAGACGCTCAAGTAATGGTGAGATGTATCGATGCTGGGGAAAGATGGAAACCATTCGATCTGAATTTGAACCAATCGGGAAAAAAAGTCAACAATAAGCTGTTAATTTAGATTAAATACATCAAAAATTACTCGAATCTGGTTGATTGTGTTTGGTTGACACGTTGAGGGAGGTTATTCAACCCAGAAGAGAAAGACTGTTGATCATTTATTGCGCACACACGGACAGGTGAGGTTATAAAGTGGGTTTTTCTTTATTTCTATCAAATCTTTAGTCACAGTTTGATTTTAAAAGATTTTTTTAAATTTGTGAAAACTTAAGGGGTTAATTTTGGATTAACAACTACCAGAATGTGTGACCCCCAGATGCATTTAAATAATGGATTGATTTTTTATCAGAATAAGAGGTGACCCCTTTTTCAGTGTCTCTACACCAAATATTAAGAGTTAATGCACTTAAAAGAATGTGATAGATGATTATATAGTTTGTTTATATTCCAGCACTGGTTTAAAAATTTAATAAAAATCAGGAGGGCAGTGCTGCATGAAGAGCAGAAAAAGGAGCATCAGTCAAACAGTAACAAATCTTCAGGTGCACGACTGCAGAAAAAGAAAACAGAAAAGTCAGCACACTCAATGTCCTTCACAGGTTTATAATCTGGAGTAGAGCCGCAGTGTACAGATCAACAACGGACAGTGATGCATGAAACTAAACATGAAGAGGAAACAGACTGCAACACAACACCGGTTCAGAGGACAGTCCAGATTTTTGGTTTCCTTTGTTTTAAGACTTGCTCCTAAAGCGGTCAATTTGATCTTTTAGAAATCTGCAGTATGAAACATTTAAAGGTGTTTTCAGTTAGTTAGTTGTGAATTATTTGTTGCATATAAAAAGAGACAAAAGCAAGGTTAAAATGATCTGATATTACCATTTAACCTGGTTCAAACCTGATAAATTATGATTGTCAAATACATCAATAATATTATCATGAGGGTATTTGTGCATTGACAGTATTTGAAGTTGAAACTAGATGATGGTGCAAACTAAGAAGACCCGACATTTTGGTTTTCTCTGCTGTTCATTTTCTTCCTGAATATATAGATTTACTTTATTCATCCCAAACTGGGAAATGGTGGTGTTAGAGCAGCAGGTTATCAGAGCAAATAAAACAATGTATATAAGCAAGAAACATATAAAACACAAGGAAAAAGAAGAAATATAAACATCCAGGATTTAACTTCACATTTCTTAACATTACTTCCAAAGTCTAAAATATGAAAAATGAAATAACTGAATGTATATCCTCTGCTGGAGGTAAGAGATGTAAATGTGCTGAATGAATCGATGTTATTAATGTTATTAATTGATGTACGTTATAAGAAGTCTTTATTTACCTCATTTCTCCAGTTTGTTTCCTTTCAGCCGATGTATTTCTATTTTAATTAGAAAGGAAGAGACGAGAGCTCGTTTGAATGTATAACATTTTATTTATAAACATACAGTATGCTATAAATGCCAATGCATTTAAACATCAAATTAACCTATATTTCAGATAGTATTCAGGTGAATATTACAATAAATACAGAACAGACATGAAAGGTTTCATTCCCCGACTATCCTGTGAAGAAGACCGTCTGGATATAGAGCTCCGTCTCAAAGATCCCGCTAGAAGAGACTCAGCTGAGATTTAAGAAATAAGTCAGGATAAAAAATAAAAAACACACCGAACAGAAGCTTAAAAATACTGAAGATCAGAGAGATGAGCCCGGAGGAGAAGCTTTACTAAAGGAGGAGGAAGAGGAGGAAGAGGAGGAAGAGGAGGAAGAGGAGGAGGAAGAGGTGGAGGAAGAGAAAGAGGAGGAGGATGAAGAGGAGATAGAGGAAGAGGAAGAGATAGAGGAAGAGGAGGAGGAGGAGGAGGAAGAGGAGGAGGATGAAGAAGATGAGATAGAGGAAGAAGAGGAGGAGGAGGAGGAAAAGGAGGAAGAGGAGGATGAAGAGGAGGAGGAAGAGGTGGAGGAGGAAGAGGAGGAAGAGGAGGAGGAGGAGGAGGAAGAGGAGGAAGAGGAGGAGGAGGAAGAGGAGGAGATAGAGGAAGAGGTGGAGGAGGAGGAGGAGGAAGAGGAGGAGGAAGAGGAGGAGATAGAGGAAGAGGCGGAGGAGGAGGAGGAGGAAGAGGAGGAAGAGGAGGAGGAGGAGGAGAGGAGGAGGAGGAGGAGGAGGAGGAGGAGGAGAGGAGGAGGAGGAAGAGGAAGAGGAGAGGAGGAGGAGGAAGAGGAGGAAGAGGAAGAGGAGGAGAGGAGGAGGAGGAGGAAGAGGAGGTGGAGGAAGAGGAAGAGGAGGAGGAGGAGGAGGAAGAGGAGGAGGATGAAGAAGAGGAGATAGAGGAAGAAGAGGAGGAGGAGGAAAAGGAGGAAGAGGTGGAGGAGGAAGAGGAGGAAGAGGAGGAGGAGGAGGAGGAAGAGGAGGAAGAGGAGGAAGAGGAGGAAGAGGAGGAGGAGGAGGAGGAAGAGGAGGAAGAGGAGGAGGAGGAAGAGGAGGAGATAGAGGAAGAGGCGGAGGAGGAGGAGGAGATAGAGGAAGAGGAGGAGGAAGAGGAGGAGATAGAGGAGGAGGAAGAGGATGAAGAGGAGGAAGAGGAAGCTGCTAGTTTGCTTTCATACAGAAATCATTTGGTTTTAAGCTTAAACGTGCATTTCTTTAAACATCCATGATAAAAACCGGAGCTCATCTACAAACTTTAAAGAAAGAAAAAAAAGCAGGTGAGTGAAAATGTGCAGCTGACGGCTCAGATCTTTACTTTTCTTTTTGTCATGGAGCGACTGCTGCTGGTTGGTTGTTCATTTTGCCGTTTCACTAGATGGAACGTGTTCTGGTGATATTTTTAAAATCTTTTTTTGTTATTTTTATAAATGAATTCTAGCACTGAGTAATTATCAAAATGAGCTCGTTAACAGCATACAGAATCTTTATCGCTCTAGAGTAACACATTCAAAATAAAATCAAACGGTTTCCCCCAACTTTATATACTTTGTGTTTTCAGACAACAAATGTGTTGTTTTTGGGGAAAGTGGAAATAAAGATGTCGTCTGTTGTTAAAATAAAACAGTACTGATGTAAAGCGAGATGTGAGGGAGGGCTGCAGCGTGCGTGTGTGTCTGCAGATTCAGAGTTCAAATTTGGCCAAAATCCCTCCAAACACCATCAAACAAAAAAAAAAAAGAACAGAAAAAAAAAAAAAGGAGAAACAAAAAACAAAAACACCAAATAACTGGTGCTTCTGATTCCTGCATCACCTTGCTTTTCCTCTAAGGCACATTGAAGTCCTGACTCTCAAAAGCTGACCGAGGAGCGACCTGCTGTGAGCCAAACGTCACAGCTCACACGACGTCCACTTATTGCCCTAAAGTTTGAACTATACATCCATAACATGTGTTTATAGAAGAGGCTCATTTATGAAAGAGCACAGGAGGAGACGCAGGAGGTCGCTGTGAGCGCCCGACGATAGAGAGGATCATTGTGTGTAACATTTCTGAACGTAAGGAGGGTTTAAAGTGATCTTATTACACTTTATAAATGAACTGTTTGTGTTCAGTACTTTAATGAAGGGGCAGAAAATGATTCAGGTTTTCAGATCCAACAAAACAACTCCAGTCTGAGCTGCCTCACCTCCCGTCCAGTATTTTTGATCTACTACTAAATGAGGTCATCTTTCTTTAAAGATTAAAAAAAAAAGAAAGAAAAAGAAAGCGGTTCCTTTGATATACTGCGTTTCCATTGGCTGGATGTAAATAGGTATATTTGCTCCGAGCAGGAAAATGGAATCTGAGATCTGAACACCACCTTTTTCTATCCGTGTGTTCAATGCATCTGTAAAATGTTATTGTGTTTTATTCTCAACATGGCCGCCACCCCAGAACAGCGTCCCTCCCTCCCTCTCTCTCTCTCTCTCTCTCTCTCTCTCTCTGTCTCTCTCTCTCTATGTCTCTCTCTCTCTCTGTTGCTGCATGATGAAACAGAGCCTGTGGCGTTTGCTCCGACCAATCAAATCCAGATTTCACTCACGTCTCGGATGACATAAACACGAAGAAGAGATGTTTTTTTTTTTCTTAAGACTGTCCCCCCCCCTCCACCACCCCCCACCATGATGAATCTTCATTGGTTATTGAATTGCAGAGGATGCAAAGATCCCGACACGCTGTGAAGGACATGATTTGCAGATAATCGGTTTAAAAAGAGATGAGGGGCGGGGGGGGGGAGGGGGTTTCTTCTGTGAACCTTGTGCTTTTCTGTCGAGCGTCACAACGTGGTTGGCTGTCCGGCCGCTTGAAAGGAAGAAGAAAGAGAAACTCACAGTTTTTATAAAGCACAAAATGTTTCTGTTTGGGATTTTTTCCTTTCATTTGATTTAGTGGTTTTTCTTTTTTTTTTTTATCCTCAAATGATGACAGCTGCTGAGACGTTAAGTGACCTTTGATTTTCAGAAAACATCAACTTTTCTTTACTCTCCTGCAGACGAGGTGAAAGAGACAAAAAGTTACCGTCTGCAGTAACTGTACAAAGTTAATTTTCTAGAACATTCCTGTTTAAAAAAAACTCCCTTTTGCACTATTTAAGACGAGAGAAAATATGAAGTCAGGCTGTGCAACATGTCGCATTGAAGTCTAGTCTAACAACGAGGCTTTTAAATGTATTTTAAATATGTAAAATCAATCTTTTTTTGCAGTTTGTTTCCTTCTCCTGACGCAGCTTCAGAGCCCTCCCAGCGTTCATCCTGCAGCCTCACTGTGTCTGTCACTTCTTTATTAAAGCTGCTCTGGGTCGAAGTTTGATATTAAAACACTCTCTTGTCTTATCAGCCACACTGCGGGGCTGCTATGAGGAGCCAAACCTTTGATATACACCTCACATTTCTATCATAACAGAGTGTCGGGTTGACTTTGAAAACAATGAATCAAACGAAGCGTTCTGTGGTTTTCTAACTGCTTTATGAGCGCTGTGTTTACTGCTCATTCTACGACACCGTCGCCTTATTGAAAAACTTTTTCATCAGAGAACATATGAAATATGGCCAACGTTACCCAACAATAAGAAACAACAACACCTAACGCTGTTCACAGATTCAGGAGAATAATCAAACACTTTCATTATGAAAAAACTTTTTGATTTATGTCGTGCTGTTTTTTTATTTTTTATGGTTGATTTGTTTAGAATCAGCCGACAGAAGCAGACAACCTTTGTAATGAATTTATGTTAAGACGGATGGGAGGAAACTTTGCCTTAAGACAGAGAGAGAGAAAGAGAAAGAGAGAGAGAGCGAGATAGAAGGAGAGAGAAAAAGAGAGAGAGGGAGACAGAGAGAGAGAGAGATAGAAGGAGAGAGAGAAAGAGAGAGAGAGAGACAGAGAGAGAGGGAGACAGAGAGAGAGAGCGAGATAGAAGGAGAGAGAGAAAGAGAGAGAGCGAGATAGAAGGAGAGAGAGAAAGAGAGAGAGCGAGATAGAAGGAGAGCGAGAGAGAGAGAGCGAGATAGAAGGAGAGAGAGAGAGAGAGAGCGAGATAGAAGGAGAGAGAGAGACAGAGAGAGAGAGAGAGAGGGAGACAAGGAGAAAGAGAGAGAGAGAGAGAGGGAGACAAGGAGAGAGAGAGAGAGAGAAGATAAATACATAATTGGGGAGGGGGAGGGGGGGAAAGGGGGGTGGAAGGACTTACAGCGGGAGCGGATGTAGCACTGGTGGCAGTTGAGGAGGCCGTTTCTGATCCGGACGTCTGTCCCCGTGGTCGTGTCACCTAACTGTCCTTTACACACCCCACACTGAAGAGAGAGGGGGGGGGGGGGCTTCTTAAATATTGTAAATTCATCATTGACTTGTTAGTTTAGGTTTCTGTCTCCTCTCCCATCCCCCGACTTCTCCTTCTGCAATCATCAATAGTGCAAAATATATACTGAACTATTTATACACTTTCTACCTGAGCATACTTTACCCACACTTCATGTTTCATCGACTGCAGGAAACTCATTTCTTACCTTTTCAATATTTACATTTCAGACTGTGCAACATGAATATTTATGCTCTTTACTCTTTTACTCTGCATTAAACATTATATCGGTGGTAAATATTTTTAAATATACATTGTCCCTCTTTAAAGTAAGTTGTTTGTTGCTGATGGACGCTTGTACATGTGTGTGCACTTTAAGGTGAAGCATGTCTGATTGTGTTGAACAATGTCTGACTTGCCTTCCCAGTCTGAGACTCAACAAGCCCATTGATTCCTACTGACAATATTATTATAAGTAAAACTAATCATTTACATTTTTTACATGAGTGGAATGGTTCGGCACAGCAGAATAAAGTTAACTTGTTTACAACAGGGTTCATTTGTACATATTCTGGGGGGTAATGTTAGCTGAGGATTAGTACACACTGGAGTATTTCAGCACTACAGTATGTGAGATCTTGAAATAATAGTATCCACACTCATGATAATGAGGAAGACGTCATCCAGAGGCTCACTGATATGTTTCCTGTAGTGTCTGTATAAGATTGGAGGCCATTGAAACAGTAGAATATGCTTTAGTTAACAACACAACTCCTTGGGTACGCTGACATTCTCCCTTACTATTAATCATTTTAAACTCAAATTAAAACAAATTGATAGAGAAAGACAGAATCTGGACGTATGAGGACTCTCTCTCTCTCTCTCTCTCTCTCTCTCTGTGTCACCGACCTTAAAGCATTGAATGTGGAAGAAGAGGCTGAGTGTCTCTATGATCATGGCCGCTCCTTTTCCTAACGGCTGCCCGCAGCTGGAGCAAAGCTTCTTCCCACTCACAGACCTTCAGGAGACAAACAGAGAGAGATACACACAGAGGGACAGATAACATGGGAAGCTTCTCTTTCCTGTTAAAAGACTTTCAACACTTCTGGTGCTTTGAGTTTTATTTTGTATAAAATATGCAGGTTTTGTGTGTGTGTAAGAATATTTCCAAAAACTGAACATTTTAGTATTCTAGCTTTTTGTTTTATCAAATTGGTTTCATTTGATTATTATTCATTTCTGTATATTTGTTGTTGTTGGTTTATTTACTGGGTAGGGGCGGGAGTGAGTGTGGAGAAGAACAGTGTACTCTTATTCTGTTTTTGTGTGTATCTAAGGATGCTGGCTAATGTACACATTATAAAAATAAAAAAAAGATGTGAAAAAAAAAGAGTTTCAGCAGCTCTCAAGAAGAAACAGCTTGACGAGGATGTTGATAACAAATGTATATTTGTACTGGACCATTGAGAAAGACAGGAAGTGAGATAAAGAAGCGATGTCAATACAGAGAAACTAAATCACACCTCAGTTCTCTTTAAAGGAAGAATGTGAAACATGTTACACATAAATAACGCAGAAATCAAGTACTATATCCTGTAAATGTGTCTCTGAGTCATGACTGTTTACAATGAGTGAGAAGCTTGAGTCCTGCTAGCTGTACTGTTGTCAGAGCCGTGTTTACATGGACGGGACGGCCTTGTGTATGAAAGCTGTTTCAGTCAAGGACTAGAGAGAAGAAGTGTGTTTAGATCACGGTCAATATGAAGCTATGAGTTAACATTAGCATGCTAACACAACAATGCAGGACACAGGCAACTGCGGCTTGATCAAAGGACAAATTTGTCCGCCGCTTGCTCTTAATGGAGCTTAATGATGGTGCGTTCTAACTGAAAACTCCTTCCTGCGATGTGAGTGGAGAGGGGTTGGAGGTGTGCTGCTGGAGGAGAGCGGAGGATTCAGAATAGCGGAGGTGTCACCAAACAGCAGTTTCTTTTGGTTTCATGTTGGTGCTCAAGGGCGACACCTACTGGATCAAATAGTCACACCGTCTTCCTTTAAACAGTAATGTAGCAGCTCCCCTTCACAGTAAATATAACTTCTCTTGATCTACATGTTCTGTTGCATGTGTCTCTGCTTTTCCCCTCTCCTTGACACACACACTGTTAACAATGCATTTACATGAACTTTAAATTAAATTCTATTCAGTGAGGTGTTGCACTTCATCATCTCACATACAGACTGTCAGCTGGCTTCTTCTGCGGATGTCCTCTGTTTTGTCTCCAAGCTTGTTTGTCTGTATTTCTTTTGATTAACGACCGTTTGGGTTGGTGGGTTTATGCCCTTTTTGTGTCTTCTGTGTGTTATCTTAATAACATACATTTTAGTATTTCTTTATTTTATGATCGTGGAGACATTTTCTGACATATTTTGCGATCACGTCTGCCAATGTGCTCTTCACTGTAAAATAAAATAAAATGCAAAAGTCCATATACTGAATTGTAGTTCCTTCTGCATTCAATGGTCGTTGCTTCAGTGATATATGTCATGATGTGGTCGGATCAATGGAGGCAGCAAAGCAGAAAATGACAATGCAGAAATGAACAGCCCCCCCTTCCCCCCGCCCCCCTCCCTCCCTCCACGCGGGCTGCTTGTGATGCGGTACCTGTTGGGTGCTGGAGGCAGTGTGTCTGGAGGTGGTGGACATGGTGCGGGGGCTTTTGATGCGCTGCGTCCCGAGTTATTATCAATGGAACCGATCCTGGAAATGGACAGCAACATGCAACACATGATGACTCACAGCTACAGCGACTCTTTATTGGCTGCTGGTGTCAGACGCAAACCAATCAGAGCCAGGACAACCTAAACCCTGCTTAATGATGTTTTGGAACAAATCATTGTTTACTTTATTCTTTAAAATGCTGTGTTACGTGTGTCTGAAATGTTTGATTCTGTAAACTCTTTTATCTCTGAGCATTGCTTCTTCATCTTGAGGAAGACAGTGTAGGTGAAATAATGGTACAAGATGCCACCTGCTGGCCAAACAGGTGAACTGAAGGTGTTACTTTAGATCCACTCTTTCTAAAGCTCTGCTATTTATTTCAAATGTGCATCTAAAGACGTGCTGAAAGTGGATGGAGTTAATTAAAAATTAAGAGTTTGATGATACTTGAGGGCAAGGACAGACATGTAAAGAGTTTTGATTAAAACAAGGTTTGGAGTTATGTTTAAAGAAATGTGTTGCAGCCATGATAGAAACACTGCAGCTTAAAATAAACCCTCTGTTGTCATAATGAGCACATACTGGTTCTTTATGTGTGCCTGGTTGTGTTTAATACCTTACATTGTTTGAGTGAAACTTCTTCTGGGACAATAGTTGTAAAATTTGAAAGGGACTGAATTTTGGATCAACAGAAATAAAACCCCAAACAGAATTTGCTGCAGAACTGTTTCTCACACACCTCCTGTCTCCTGCTGGCCGGCCGGGCTTGCTGCTGTCCGCTGTGGCCTGCTGTTGCTTCTTCACCGGAGTCGAGGTTTTGGTCGCCGCCTGGGGAAGCTTTTGTCCGTTCTGCAAACTGTGAGAGAACGTTTCTGCTTGACTGACGCTCTGACTCACCGAGCTGAGGAAACCAAAAAAAAAAAATCAAGATAAATTCTTCTTGTTTATTTTTGTACCACTACATAATCTCAACTGAGAAATAACAGTGCTGATAGTGATGGTATTCTAGCAAGAATACAGGCCTTAGTTAAAAGTGTCAGACGTACAGCAATCTGAACAGAGTATGGTGAAAACACATGATGCACCACGTCACTGATTCCTGATGTTATGATAGGGGGAGGCAGCAAGGCGAAATTAAACCAAGCCACAGTGTTTTGCACTACCTGTGAGCAAAGCATGGCTCATTTTTTGAATCATAAGGCTGACAATGAATCTGCCCCAGACGTCATAACTACTAAAACAAAGATAAGAAAATATGACGAGTCACATCTCGCCTTCAGCTTAACCTGTGAGCAACGGTGAGTAATAAAGAGAGACGCACTCCTTCCTACATGTCTGAGAAAAAAAACCTGTCCAGTTTTTCTGGAGTCTACTCAATCAACACAAAATACAGATCAAAGCTGGACATTGAAAATGAAGTAAGCCACATATTTTTAGTGAGTTGTTCATCTTCAGAGAGTCAGGTTAAAAAAAAAAATGTTTTAAGTAATGACTGTAACATCTTAAAAAAGTGGATGTTTCATGTTTCAGTATCACTTTTAATTGCTTCCTATGAAAAAGCTGCTTGTTAGTTATTTCAGTTTGTTGTCACACTGAAGTTTCTTTTCTGTAACATTTGAAGATCATTTTAAGTTAAATTCTGAAATATAGGAATTTGTTAGCAAAGAGCGTTTATCGATATATGTTCATGTACGATGTGTATGGTAAGGCGTGGAAATATTTGTATCTGCCAAAGGGGGGCTGGCAGGAAGCAAAGTCCCTGATCATGTGACAGCTGATGCTAATTTAACACTCAAATGTGTGTGTGTGTGTGTGTGTGTGTGTGCGTTTGTGTGACCATTAAGCCAGACCATGATATATATTTTTAAGCTTTCAAGCAGCAGTTTTTGAGAAAGTTCACAAACCTTCTGGCTGTTTTCATGCTGTCATCTGCAGTGCTGATGTCACTGGTCCTGTCGTTTTCTCTCCTTTTCCACTCCACACTCTCTGTGCTCCCCTTCTGTGCAGCCCAATCACAAACAGAGGGACAGTAAGCTGAACGACCAAATAAAACAGAAAAAAACCCACTGTGCCCACCTCCAACAGTTTGTCACACAGAGAGACCCTCACGAACAGAAATGCAACAAACAATCTCAAATCATTGAATAAGACATTCACCGACTGCCTCTCCAGCAGCTCCTGCTTGCGTTCCCAGTCGGCCAGCGAGCGGACGATGGTGTCCTGGGGGGGCCGGGGTGAAGGAGACCTCGCCTCGGCTGGGGGAGGGCAGGGCTGAGGAGCGGGGAGTCAGAGGGGTCACGGTTTCCTCCAGTATCCTACGCTCCTGTTGTAACAGAAGAGCTGGGTCAAGTTATCCACAGCAAGAGTACAATCATGGGTAAGATAATCAGACAAAAAAAACCACTTTTGTCTTCAAAATCACATTTAATGAACCTCATCACATATAACAATAAAAACGTTCAGATATTCTGTCTGACTTGGTCACAAGACACCAAAGAAATGCTTATCAGGTGCAACATGTGCCACACACCTCCTCGTGATACTTCCTCTCCTCCTCCGCCACCTCTCTCTGTGCTCTCTCCCACTCCTCCTTCAGCTTCTCCTGCTCGCGCCGGTACTTCTCCTGTTACCACGGCAACAGACACATGACATACAGCACAGAGCCTCAAACGAAAGGAAGAAAGACTGAGGCTATGTTTTGGCAGGAAAACAGAGATGATGCACATGACATATCTGAGTCGCTTTTCAAAAGGTTTCCAGTGTGATTACACAATCTGTCAGTAGTGCATGCAGCTTTACCTGATCCTAACTGACTTTAAACACTGCTGTAATTACTGGTAAACTCTATAATATGACCATGTTGGATGGCCTCAGTATCTACTTAACTAACAGAGCTGAATGAATGAATCGGTTTCTTTGCTTTTTCTCTGGTAAGGCTAAACACTGGCTAAGATCTGATACTTGTGTGTAAGGGCTACACAGTCAGCAGAAGCAAGAGAACAAGGCACTTTGGACAAAAGGCAAAATTAGAGCATGCAGAGTCTGTGGAGCACAGGGTTCCTACACAGTCTTCACACAAAGCTTCCCATGATGTTTCAAAAATATTAGAGTGTCTTTGAGGTACATGACTAAAATGGTACCTGGGAATCAAACAACATCCTGCTGATTTTTAACATTTTTCTAGATACACACAAGTTTCAGAATGTGTAGGAACCCCCCAAAAAAGACGGCCAAATGTATTGCTCCAGGATGTCGGGAGGAAGCAATTAAAGCAAGCCAGAAGAGAGAAAAAGGATCGCGGCACAGCGACGAAAACAGAAACATACAGGGAGGTGACGACAAGCACTTTGATGCACCAGACATTCATCCACTTCATCTCAAACAGTCCTGCAACAACCAGCAAGCACAGGAATCTGCTCTTATTGCTGTTGTTTGGAAGATATATTCATCAAGATAACACTGCAGGTAAGAACAGTGCATCATAGACACCAATGAATACTTTTTAACGTCATAAAAATATGTGGACCTGAGATGAACCACTGATCTGATTGGCCGAGGAGAGAGAGGGTGTTTTTTTGGGCAGCAGCAACAGCAGCAACTTTGGACGAAGCCGTTGTGTGAGCATATGTGTGTGTTTGTGTGTGTGTGTGTGTGTGTGTGTGTGTGTGTGTGTGTGTGTGTGTGTGTGTGTGGTTAATATGGAAACTGTGAGCTGAGGAAAACAACAACAACACAGTGGAGGTTCTTCAGCTGCACAAAATCGCCCTCTAGTGGTTAGCTTGTGCACAGGAGTAGTGATGATGTGTGCTTTCAGGGGGAGGATATGCTCAATATCATAACAAACATGGAGGCAAGCTTTGCAAGTAGGAATGAGAGGTGGTTCACCGACCTGACTCCTAGCTCGGCACTAGCTCAAACAAAGCTGCTTTTGTCACTGACACATGGTTTTGAATCCACTTAAACTGTGAGTATCACATATTGTGGTTTATAATCTGGAGTAAAACTGGGCTGGATTTGTAAAGAAGGTGAAATATTTCCAAACAACTTTTCCCTTTCTTGAGCTTCCTTTGCAAACAACATGTTTAACCAGACATCTTGATCTTTAAACTATGCATGCAGTGTCTGACTGCTGCAGCACTTGCTGTTGAGTTGTAGATTTAAGGAAAGTTAAGAAACTAAAGTTTAAAAACTAGTTAAAAAAAATAACAGACACAGAGCCTCTTGTCTCGTCCTGTTGTTTGTAAAGCTATACATTTACCATTTACTTGATTTTCTAGCCAACCAATTAAAAACTTTTCATTTGAACAAAATCTGCATCTTTTCCTCTGATGAGTTTCACTCCCTAAAGTTGTCAATGATCATGTTATAGCTAAATTTATTGTGCAAATGGACTAGTGAAGCTATATTTGCTAATTGCAAAGCTCCATAGCTGAACTTGGAGGTCAGCTATGTGTTCAATAAACAAAAACAAATGAAAATAATATTAAGCTTGCTTCAAATTCCTTATGTTTTCCTGTTGGTATAGTTTGAACAAGTTAATCTTTTCCATTATTTCTTCCTTCACTTGATTCAAATGCTCTGAGGAAAAGGTGACACTGTCGTCTGATCCTCACAGGTCTGGTGCCTTGCTCATACCTCTATGATGCATAAGGAATTGAACCCCTGACCTTGCAGACTCATGCGCCATGCTCTACCCTTGAGGTAAACTGTGTACCTGCAGCATGCGCTCCTGCTCTTGCTGCCACCTTTGCTGACGCTTTCGCTCCTCATCCGGGTCCCAAGACCAGCGGTCAGGCCGCCTGGCCTGGGGCAACACCGGTTCTGACACCTGATAGACACCAACAACACACAAACACACACACACACACACACACACACACACACACACACACACGTCAACATGCACAAATACACGTGGCGCAGAGATATTCATGCGCACATCCACACGCCCACAAAACGACGGCCATTGGCACACAGACGCAGTGTCACCCAACCACAGAGCCGATGTGATCCCACACACATCAACACCAATGTGCACACACATCCACCACAGGAAAAAGAAGAAGGGAAGGGAGGAGACAGAAATAGTTGGTCTACCACAACAGCACTACTCCAATGCTAGCCAAAGGACTCCTACTAAGGAGAGAGAAGACAGAGAGAGAGACAGATGAGCTTTAAAAGGAAAACAAACGCAGTCTCGGCCGTTCAACAGCGTCCTCATCTGGCATGCTACACAAACAGCTCAGTGTGTCCAATGAGATGGAGGAGAGCTTTGCAGAATGGACACTGGGTTTAAAATTGAAAAGCAAATATCTGATCTTTGAAAAAGATGATTTTATTTATTATTTTTTCATGGGATTGTGAGAAATGATCAGCCGACTAAATGTGTCTAATGTATTGGATGTTGCATGTTGGGTGCTATACAGTGACAATGATTTAAGATAGGTTAGGTTTCATTTAGATGCATATCATTTGTATTATATTTCATTATTCGTCTTCTCTTTATCCCTGTCTTAATGAAGTGATTCAAACTCAAATACTGTAACCCAGGACGTGACGAGCCAGATGAGAAACAGTAAAAAGGTTTTTCATGAAGCTTTGTACTCACGTTTCCACGACTATCCTTCTCCGTCCCTTCTGCAGAGCAAGTGTGGAGAAGAGAAGTTAAAACACAATCACAACAACAGTTTTGCAAACATGTGATTCAAATAAAAAAAAAGCCTTTTGAAGCAGAAAACCTTAAAGGTTGTGCCAAGCATTATTTTGACAAGCTAAGGAGTTAAAGATGCAGATGAAAGACAACAGGAAACCAGTCCATGTTTACTGGATCAGATATTTATTATTTGATAAATCACTCAGGGTTGGAGACATGCA